TGGTCTACCTTCAACTTTCCCTTTGCTTGAGTCTTCAGGTCATGATGTAGAGGCTTGTCCCTTGTGAGCTGTCGCATTACCATAGCCTAGCCCACTTTTGTCATAACCCATTTGTTGAGACCCAAGGATGTCTTCTAATGATTTGGAACCTTTGTTCTACATAGCAATTGTGGCTCTAGCAATTCGGAGTTCTTCATCTTTCTGACAAACCATCTCTTCTAATGTAGCTTGTGACATCTCAAGACTTTCAAGCTTCTCTTCATATGTGGAATACACTTTCAGGAGTTCATTTCTTTCAGTTTCACAAGATAGGAGTTTCCCACGTAGGTCTTGCCTGTCACTAGAGATCTTGATGACATTCTGCTTTCCTGTTACAAGTTCTCCTTTTAGCTTGACATTCTCGCTTTCACATGCTTTGAGCTTGAGAGAGAGTTTGTCATTGATTTTGGACAAATTCAGAGATTCCTCGTAAAGCTTTTCGTAAGCTTGTTGTAGTTCATCACCATTAATCTCATCATTGTCTTCTGATGTTTTATCATCCTGTTTTTGCTCCTCATTCTCCTTGACCTCATCCAGTCGGGCAACTAAGGCAGAAAAGGTGATGGATGGTGGTGAAGATGACTCTCCTCTTTCATGAAATTAGCTCAAAATGTCCCATGCATCTTTAGCCTTTGTGCAGTGAGCAACCCGTTGCTGTTCTTCATCAGAAATAGCTCTATGAATAGTAGACAGAACTCTCTGATTGCTTGGATTGTCAACACTTTCAACATCCTCTTCAATGGCTTGCTAGCCTTCTGGATCGAAAGCTCTCAGAAACGCCCTCATTATAATCTTCCAATACAAGTAGTTACTTCCATCAAAGGTGGGAGCATGATGCAGGTTCTAACCACGAGCTAAGTCCGCTGGCTTTGGAAGAGGTTGAGTGAAAGTGGACCAAAATGCCATGAAAGCACTATCCCCGTCTTCACCGAATTCAGGTTCTTCGGGTTCTTTCCGACCCACTTTCATCATCCCAAGTCACTGTGTAGACTTTCTTCCGATTCTTTTTCGAAGGACATTCAAGGGCAATATGGCCAAACCCTTGACATTCATAGCACTTGATCCTTTGCCCCTTTACAATCTTCTTTTCAGTTTTTGGAGCAAGTTTTGGTGGAAAAATTTTGGGTTTTTCATTACTCTTGTCTTTTGAAATAGGGTCTCTGAAATTAGGTTTCTTAAAAAAAAATTAAACTGTTTAGTAAACATAGTCGTCATCTTAGACTCTAAATCAAACTCAATCTTCGGAGTTTTTGCAGTCTCATGAGCACTAGTGAAAGCCACACTATCTTTTTGTTTTTTCTTAGAAATCTGGTGGGCTTCATAAGTCTGCAAGTTTCTAACCAACTAATCAAGCTTGAGGGTATCAACATTCTAAGCCTCCTCAATGGCTGTCACTTTTGATTGGAACCTCTCGGGGAAAGACCTCAAAAATTTTCCAACAACTTTAGCCTCAGGGATTTTTCACCGAGTGTGAAACAGGAATTCACGATGTCACTAAGTTTTGCATAGAAATCATCAAACGTTTCATCATCACGCATAAAAAGGGTTTCAAAGGCAAAGGTGAGACGTTGAAATTTTAACCTTTTGACAGAAGTAGTACCTTCGTGAATTGTTTCAAGAATGTCCCAAGCCTCTTTTGCTACCTCACACGTGCAGATACGACGAAACTCTTCAGGTGTGACGGAGCAAAAAAGGGAATTGAGAGCCTTGTTGTTCCAACTCAACTTTTGACAATCGGTTGTGTCCCATTTATCAAGGGGTTTGGGAATCTTAATACCATCAATGGTGACAGTAGGTTCACTCCACCCATAAAGCACACAGTGCCAAACTTTCTCATCGATGGATTTTAAAAACGCTCTCATACGAGCTTTCCAATAAGAATAGTTTGTACCATCAAGTAACAGAGGTCTATGGGTCGAGTTACCTTCACGAATTGAATCCATATCACCAATCACACAAAATCACACTCCTATAGTTTTGATAAAAAACAAAGAGTGACCCGCTCTGATACCAATTGAAAATCCAAAGTGATTTGTGATTAGATCAAGATTTAAATATTCCAATTCTCAATCAATCAAAATACACAATCTAAATCAACAAGCACTTACGAAAGTGATTTAGATTGTTGTTTTCAAAATAAATAATAAATCGACACAAATGATTTTTTCGTGCAAAAACCACAATTGAAGCACCTTCAATTGTAATCAAAAACTACGGGCGAAACGCCACATATCAATCCACTACTGAAGAAAGAAAGATTACAAAGACACCCAACAAATTACCAAACGCATCAAATTTGTTTTCAAGCCTTCTGAAAATCTTTCACCATAGCCTTCGTCTTGGAATTGATCAGTATGAAGTTGAATCCACAACTTCTAATGTCGAATCAACGACCACGTACAGTATCAAACTCCTTTGATGCTCCACGTTTGAATCTTCGGATTCCACCGAAGAAGAACACTCTTAAATATTAAGAAACAAACTCCTTGATTTATGTATCTTAGATCATAGGTTTCAAACCCTCTCAAATATATCAAGGAAAACTCACAAAAACTTCAGAACAAAACTTCAAAAGAAACCCTAAGACTCTTAAAGAAGATCTAGGAAAAGTAAACCCTAAAATCAGCCTAAAACAGATATATATATATAGAAAACAGAGGTTGCGATCTCCACTCGAGCGCAGGATAGCCCGCTCAAGCAGCATCAGTAAAAATACGCATGTGACCAAACAGGTTTCCGCTCGAGCGCTGGACCACATGCTCGAGCGCGAAATCACACTTCTCAGTATGTTTACAGACACGACCAGCTACTGAGATAGCACATATTACGCTCGAGAGCCAATGGTCTCGCTCGAGCAGGAAAGTCAATAAACAAGGAAAAATTACAACTTTTCAAAACAGAGTTTGTACGAGGATTTGACAATAAAGGGACCTAACATACCATACAATACAACCAATTGATATAATTTCCATCTCATAAGATCAAAAATTTTAATCATGCCAACATTAATTTACACAATTTTGTGATTTCATCCAACTCCCGATTTCATCCAACTCCCAATAGATTATAACAATCTGTCAATTCAACCAAACAAAGCGAAAAGTAGTTCAATCGTGCACGAAACATGAGCTAACAAGTTGTGAGGTTTAATCTTCCCTCCATGAAGCAGTGGTAGTACATATTGTTGCAGTATGAATTAGCTAGAAAACAATAAAAATAGAGAACTTTGGGATATTTTCAAAACGTTGTCCAAAAATATTAAATTAAAAGAACAGCAGTAGTAGTAGTAGCATTATTACAATATATAACAATTATACATATGGCCAAAGCATAAATAATTTCCGAGTTCAGTTTTAGTAGAGCAGATAAGGGTTTAATTACTTCCCAAATCATCCAAGACATTAAGACAAACCTCATATAACAATTTTCTTTTTGTTTTTTTTTTTTTTTGATTTTTTGGTTTTTTTTTTTTTTTTGGGTGCGTGTGTGTTTTTGTGGTAATGGAAAACAAGAAAGTTGAAGGTATTCAAGAACATTCAGACAAGCAGTAAGTGCTTTGTAGAAATTAGCCAAGAAGTAACTAAAGTTTAATCTTAGCATCTTCGCGTGAAGATTTTTTTGTCATTTAACACCATCGGTAGTTCACTCTAGATGCTTAGCTTCATATGACAGTTTTGATAACCTCAAGGGTTGGCCTAGTGGGCACAACTTGGGTGTGCTCACTCCCAATCTCAGGTTCAATACTCCTCCTTGGGTGCACTGCATACAGGACAATTGGTCTAGCTTTAAATAGCCCCCCCTGCACGGGTGCAGTGAGATTGGTCACCCAAGGTAAGCCGAGGTGGGCGTAAGCTGGTCCTAGCACATAATTATCAAAAATAAATAAATAAATAAGACCGTTTTTGTGACACCCCTGTTCCGTAGTATGTTAATTGGTCCTTAACATGATGTGATTATGTATTTTGATATGATTTTGTGTTCCACTATGTGAAAATATGTGCAATTGTCTTTCAACTATAGGAAAACAAAATAAATAAAATATAATATATATATATATATATTTTAAGCAAAATGAGTGTAATAGGATAGGCTAGTTTTGATATGAAGCAAATGAAAGGCTTCAATAAAATTCTAGTAAAGTCAAGAGCAGTCAGTCTTTTGGCTAAGTTAGTGTTGCAATTCTTATGGTCCGAACAGAGTAAAATGAAGATGGCCCTAAATTCAGATAAACAATTTGTCACTATAAGCCTTCTGAAAAAGATTTGTAAGGAACTAGGATGCATCTGTCATCTTTTCTAAAAATTCATTACGTTTGGTTGAGTTTTCAAAATTTGTTTCTGAAAAATTTTCAAAAACTAACCAAGCCTCAAGTCCCATTAAATGGGATCGACTACATGAATTTTTCTTCTCCACTCAATTCTATCAAATGCTATTTGGTTCGTCAAAAATTTTCAAAAAACTAGTATGGTGAAAAAAAAAAAAGAAAAAGAAATTAAAGCACTCATTATTTTCATATGATTTTCACTTTTTTGGGTATTTGTTTTTGTTAAACTAGTTTCTAATTTTTTTTCAAAAAATTCTGAAAGCTCAACCAAATTTCTTCCTATGTACGCACATACACAGGCGGTTTTTGGACCCAATCAGTCTGTGAAAGTGTGGATGTTCATTTTAACATATAAACTAGTTACAGCACACTGCACCTTTAAAGAGCTGTTAAGTAAAAAAGCGATCAATACGCATAATGAAAGTTTTCAAAACCTTAAAAAAGGATATTGAATTGTTATTATGTGGGATTATCAAGTGTTGATAGTGTAGGCATAAGAGAGCATGGTAAAACAAAAATTGCAGAGAAGTAAATACTACTATCTGCAAGGTGAAAAAGAGAGATATTACATGGCCATTGTAACAGCTTCAAATCTTTTCCTTTGAATTTCCACTTTTTGCTAATTGATCCATCAAACTTGCATCCCTTTCTAGTTCGACAAAGACATTAGCCACATAATCTTTCCGTTTGCTGCTCCACTCAGATTCAAGCCACTTTAATGAATTCCACCATTCAATCTCTCCTTTGATCACTTTTAGATAGTTACTGGACAATTCCATCAGAGAAAGACTTTCAAGCATTGGGCAGGCATAGATGATAATCCTTTCCAATTTCAGTGCAAGCAAAAGGCCACTGGAAATGCTTACCAATTTAGGTCAGCCAAGAAGTGATAGCTTCTTCAAGCTTGGGAGAAACGGATTTGGTTCTAAGCACAAAGATTCCTGACATACTAGACTGTTGATTTGGGGGCAGTCTTCAATTATAAGCTCTTCCAAGTTATGGAGATTACCAAGCAAGCTTCTTGTAAAAATGCTAGTCAAATTGGGGCAAATATGCAAGGCCATGTACTTTAGTTTGGATAGATAGCCCTTGCCAATTGGACCTTCCCAGATGCTTCTCAAATTCATCATGCAATGAATACCCACGTATTGTAATGATTCGAATACCAGTTTTTTATCAACACCTGATTCACACATCTGATCACCTTCTTTATAGAATTCTCCTCCATCTATAATTGTTTGAAGCTCGTTGCACTCAGCCAGCAAGAAAATATTTAGCTCAACCATATTTTCATTTCCAAATTCAGATAGCTTCTTGATGGTCCAATGTCATTCTAGGAAAAAAGCACGAGTACATTTGAGTGCATTCTGGATTTCAATCGGTATGTACTTGCCATTTATATATTTTAGGCAATTTTCCAGTTTCTCGAACTCTTCTTCAACTTCATGTGGTAGGCAAGATATGATGCACTGCTTATGACGGCCAACAGTAAATTTGAAATTTCGTACAGATGTAATTTCTTTCAGTTGTCCAACTTCTGGCAAATACAATTTTAGACTCATCAACGGTTCTAGTTTAAGCGGCTCATTTGTGACATCTTTTACATCAGCTACCCACTCATCACCATCTGGATTCACATCAATGCTCAGTGCTTTCAACATACAAAGGCTTGCTAATAACCCTGCTGGAATCCTTTTGCATATCTGCTTACCTTCTCTGTAGTGTTTTCCATATCCATAAAGGGATACTTTCAAGCATTCCAACTTTTTAAGTCCTGAAATTTCCTTAGGCAGATACATAATCTCAGTTCCTTCAAGATCAAGCACCTGGAGTTTCAAAAGTGCTCCAATTTCAAGTGGCAGTTCCATTAAAAGTTCACCACCTCTTAAAAATAATTCTTGGAGGGAAACTAATCTCGAAATACATGCTAGTAAAGACTTTATGCTCGTACGGGACAAATCTAGAACTTGGAGCATGGGCATACACCTAAAGAATGAGGAAGGAATTTCCATAAGGTCATAATTTTCTTGTAAAAACAGTGTTACTAGAGAAGGGCAGTTTGGTTTCTCTGGTAGCTCGGACAGATGATTATTGTTCAGGTATATCTCTTTGGCATCCCACTCTGCAACCTCTGGTGCCTCTGATAATCCCAAGCCCTCTTGCTTAAGATACAAAGGATGTAAATGAGGAATAAATTGCTTCAAGAGCACTTCTCTAGTTTCTTCTCGCATTCGAACATAACCTTCACTGACCTTCTCTAACAAGAAGGATTTGATAAGATCTTCGAGCACATGCTTTCCTGCTGTTTCTGTTTCTATCAAATCATTCTCGATCCAACAGGACAATAATGAAGTTTTTTCGAGTTTTATATCTTTAGTGACTAAAGTGCACGAGTGTTTTATGCAATGCCTGGTAACGATGCTCTTGCGTTCCCAAACAAATTTTAACACCACCACCATGACTTCACGACTTTTACCTTCCATCAGAGAGGAAAAAGACGATGATGCTAATTCTCCAAGTGCGTGTTGCCAGACCCTAACATCAGTGACAGATTTTAAGGCCCTTGCGAGTAGAATGATGGCAAGTAAATGGTTGTGGCATAGTTGAACTAATTGTGAGGCAATTGGTTCAATTTTAGAAGGAAAATTGTCAACATTTTTCCAGAATAAACTCCATAGTAGCAGATGATCCTCCATCTTGATTTCAAGATCCACCAACCCTATATCATGAACATTCCTGTGCCGGAATCCAAGCACCACTGATCCGTGCTTAGGGATTTTCAAGTCACGTGGATCTATTATTTGTTTCCTGCAATCCAGAAATAGTAAAAATTTGTAGGGTTTGAGTGTCTCATCTAGAGGGAGTGAAATGTCAGTTCCTGTAAGTCCGTGAATCTCTCATGCAATGCTGTTTCAGACCTCACAGATGCCATGCCCTTCTCGGACACAGACATTGATGACTAAATTAAACATGCCTCTTTTTACAGATTGATATTCCAAGGCTGCCGTTAGCATCTCTGCACTGTACCTAGAAATCGCTATCACCTTAAGTTGTTCCCCCTCAAAACAATGTAAAATTTGGCGAACAGAAGAATCAATCACCCGTGCTAGTACTTTGTGTCTAAACTCGCATTCTGGTTTATGGTCGCAATGTTGTTTCACAGAGCTTGATGTAAAAATCATGCTTAGCCAGACAACATTCAACATCTTCCAGTACAGCAGGGATGTCCTTCTCCACTAGCTGGCCCAAATTAGTAGCATTTTTTTTCATAGTAGAATTTAGTCCTTTTATCATCCGTTTGAGATTGATGAAGTTATCCCAGAGCAGGAACAAGTCAGCCTGATCTGATTCTCGTTTCATAGGATATGACAAGAGGACGTACAGTAAGTCCTTCCTCCGGTCGCAATCCCTGGCTCTCTGCATCAAGAGCTTGGCTTCCTGCGCCATGGACGACTCCATCCAAAACTCTTTCTCAGAAATGATTTTATGATCTTTCCAATGGCTGCTTTGGAGATTTTTTCCTCTTGAATTCTTCAACTTTTCCTCCTCACAATCCTCATCCATTGCAACACAGTCCATGTCCAATCAGAACTGCAAGTGTTAATATAATATTGTTAATTGTATAGCTTTCTTGCTAATTGTATAGTTGTCTCTTTTCCTTTCTGCTTTCGGTGGTAATGGATCATCATTTGGTATCCAATGTACATTTCTTCTCTCTATAAAGAGAGAGTTCATTTCTCTTGTAATATAGAACACACAATACAGAAACATTTTTGCTCTCTAGCTTCTCTCACTCTTTGCTCTCTAGCTTCTCTCTCAAACAAATCTTTCAGCAAGAAAAAATAAAAATTCAAACAAAGCTCATACATTTTGTACCACATAGATAGTAGTGGTTATTGGGACGAAATTGTAGTATATTACTCTTGTTTTGTTCTAGTAGTAAATATTTGGCAAGTTACCTCTATCCCAAATCTCTCTGCCACCTCCTGTCCCAAAACACTTTATAATCTTTGCATCATGTGAGAATCTTGTGACTGATTTAAAGACTTTAAGTTATGAGTGTTTTGGAATTTGGAATAAAAGACAGAAGAATCCTAGCCTAAATATTTATTTGATGCTTGGTTAGAAAAGGACGACTTGTATATTTTTAGTGTTTACAATCATGTTCAGTTATCAGAGGATAACTAAAGGGAGATTAAGTTTTGTAGGGCATATACCCTAAACTTAAAGAGTTTACGGTCAGCCAACCACCTTGTGCACGAGTCCATATTTGCTAAAGTTGAAGATTCACGGTGAAGTTGACTCATTATGAGACTAATTTGAATCTATTTCGGTAATCTAAACCGTTCATTTCTTATAACCAATTAAGGAAATTATTCATGTAAAAAATCAAATTGATCCAATATTAATTGTCATACCATCAAATGGACAGTCCATCTATTATAATATATATGTGATTTGACTATGTGATTATATATATCTCATCAATTTAATTTTTTACATGCATGTTTTTCTCAACTTGTTATATGAGATGAACATTTAGATCACCAAGATGAGTACAAATTAGTCCCGTAGTAACTTAACTTCACCATGATGTTGAGATATTCAACCTTGGTAAATCCAAACTCCCTGTGCAAACGTTACAAGATACGCCCTTCAACTAGTGGCAAGCAATTGCAGTTAGGGGATCGTGCCGGACCTAGGTTCCGATTTACTAACCTGGCCCGTTAAATCTCTCCAGGTCAAACACAAGATTTATATAGAAATCTACAGACTCAAAAAGCAATTAACATCTACAACACAAATTTGAAGAGATGAAAAATAATGCAAAACAGTAAGAAAAACAATATTTATTTTAAAACTCATATTAGGACATCCCTAACCTTTCACTTTTTTTTTATAAGTTTGTTCAAAAATTAAAACCAAAAAATTGATTTCATACAATCACTCTAATCTATTAAAATATTTGGATATCCAAAATAGGATATGGGTACGGGAACTCGTTATGAATATACACATATATAATATGGATGACATGTTATATAATATTCTTAAAAAATATAAATTATGTAGGAATGTTCTTAAGATTTAGAGGGAAAAAAATGTAAATTTTTTATCTCTAATCTAGGTTAGAGGATATAAAAAAAAATTTCTAACAAATTTGAGTTTCTTATTCTTCAAACATTGTAAAAAGTTAGAGGATCTAGATGTCTAACTTAGGCACAAGTGGTTTTATGTGCATTTATTAATTAATAATGTGGATCCATTAGTACAACACTAAGACACTAGTTGGCATCCTTTAGAGCATCTCCAACGGTGTTTGTTAAAATAGCATTGATATTGCTATAATTTGGCAATGAATGGTGCTATTTTGCCAAATTATAACAATGGTGCTCCAATGGTCACATGCTATTTTGGCAAATCTCAACCAACTTTCCCTTCAAATTTGTAAGTATTGTTTGGATATAGATTTTTTACTTCTTTTTTTTTTTTTGTCTTTTGTGACCTTTTTTCAACTGTTTGTAAAAAAAAAATTATATATTTACATTATACCCGACTAGACAAATATAAAAATTGAAAAAATAATTTGTTTGTATTTTTTTTTTTTCCAGGCAAATAGAGCATAACGGCTCTTTTGTCTTTCCAAGACAAATCACCACTATCCACGTAATACCATTTCCAACGGTTGAAATGAATGAACCAGAATCATCCAACCCTTTTGCCTCTCCCTCTCCCTCTCACTCTCTCTCTCTTCGATTGGCTACGGTCTCAGTCTCCCTCTCCCTCACTCTCACTCTATCTCTCTTCGATCGGCGATGGTCTCAGTCTCCCTCTCCCTTTCCCTCACTCTCACTCTCACTCTATCTCTCTTCTTTCTCTCTTCAATTGGCGACAGTACAAACTCCTCCCCACGGTGGGAACTTCTCTCTCTGCTCTCCAGCACTGCCAATCGCCGCCGCCTACCCACCACCCCTCTCTTTCTCTCACTCCTCTCTCTCTCTCTCTCCTAGAATGGATCGACGATGTTGGACAAGATCGAAGAGACGATCACTGATTTTGAACCAAGGACCACCAGATCTGCTCCCACTGCCAGCGATCTCTTCACCACTTCCTTTGACGTTGTGACTCACCACCAGATCTACTTTGAACTATCAAAACGAGGTATTTATTATTTTCAGTTTGCTCATATTCTGAGATTTTGAGATTTGAAGTTATGAAATTGCTTGTTGAGCTCCAATGAAATTGTTGAAATTTTTTTGTTGAATCTGACATTTGTTGAATTTGTTTCAGATTTTGTTGAGATTTATTGATTGTTGTTGACTGATTCTGTAAAAAAAAAAAAAAAAAAAAAAACTTTGCTGATTTCATGTAAATTAAAAAAAAAATTATTGAAAAAAAATTTGTGAATTCTCATAAAAAAAAAAAAGGGTCTGGCTTTGGTCCAGTCCACCATCGGATTGGACCGTGCTGTTGGGCCCGTGAGGGCCCACCACGGGTCCCGTTTTGAAAATCTGAATCGTTCAATGTATAGAACTCTTCGAGTACTATATGCCTGTAAAAAATCACGTTGATCGGATATCGATAGCTATGTGATTAAATCAGTTTTGTATAAAAAAAAAGAACGGCAAATAAATTAACAGTTGACAAAAAACTGATTTGATCACGTAGCTATCGATATCCGATCAACGTGATTTTTTATAGGCCTATAATACTCGAAGAGTTCTACACATTGACGGTTCAGATTTTCAAAACGGGACCCGTGGTGGGCCTCCACGGGCCCAACAGCACGGTCCAGTTGGACTGGACCAAAGCCAGACCCAAAAAAAAAAATGGTGAAACAATGCTGGGAGGGAAACGGTTGGTTTTGGCTAAGTTGGCACAAATGGTAGCTGCCAAACCTTGTGTCAAATTTGACACAAGTTTTGGCATTTCTCAAATTTGACAGCTGTTATATACAACTGTTATATTCTAGTAATGGCAGCTCCAATGGCAAACCATTAGAAATGCTTCTATATTAACGTCCTTTTTTATTTTTTTTTCATTTTTAGATTATATTACCTTCTACGCTCTTTTTTTCTCTTTTTTTTTTGTAAATTTTTTGAAAAAAGTAAAAAAAAAAATATTTAGATCATTCTAAATGCTCTCTAAATAATAGATAACGATAGATCTATCCATCTAGCTGAAATGAAATAATGATAACGTTTTGATCTTCACAAAGTAAGAAAAATCATGAGAGGAAAAAAAACCAAAAATACCTTAAAAAGTCAGGCAGTAGGTTGGGCAATCTTTCACTGTGTTTTGAGATTGAAATGACGCAAATCAAGTTGTAATGTTGTAAATCTTTGTAGATCGATGCAAATCGAGCCAATTGATAACCATTTTGGTGGAACAAATCGCAGCAAAGAAAGTTGATAACTCTTTCCTTCTTTTTTTTTTTTCTTTTTGTTTGTCACGGTCTCCCCCCATGTCTTTCTCTCATTTTTTCTTTTTTCTTTTTTCTTTTTTATTTTTTCTTTTTTCTTTTTATGAAAATAATCTATCCCTTAATTTAGGCCTTAATTCCATCTCCAACGATATGAAATTAAAGGGATAAAAATGATAGAGGGAGGGGTGTAAAATTGTATCATGTGGGTCGTTGGGGACACAATCGGGAGCCTGAATTAAGAGTTGTAGCTGGAATTTTTTTTTTTCATTTACACATAAATTTTAGGGACATGCACCAATAAATCCCAAACTCTTATCTTTTGACCCATTTGGTCCTATTTTTAATCTTATAATCTAATTAGTCCTACTCTAGTGTTAATGACAACATTACCCGTGTTTGACGCTGTTGACCACCTTCTAGTAAGGGTAATTGAGGAATACTCCAATGTGGATTTTACTGAAATGCCCAAAGTTCTTAATTGGTTGATGTTTGTTCTCCCTCCAAGCATATCAGAAACGAAGAGACGTGGATGGAAATTTGCATAGTACGCCGATGTTAATGGCGTAATGTTAGGCGTTACAGTTGAAGATTCTTTATTGGTAATGTGAAATCCCTGTGGATTGGGATAATAGAATAGGAAATTGCATTTTACTCGAAACCCTAACGAATACGCAACCAAATCCCCTGTTCATACGTCGATACCAGCGAAGTGGGTGGCTGTGACACTGATGTGCTTTGGAGCAGCATTTGGAAAATCTTCATAATCCGATGGAAGTGACTGTGGTTGGAAATAATGACTCCAGGTATGTTAATCATTGCTTTCGTTAGTGTTTGTGCGGTTGGGTTTTGCGCAAAATGTGATGTGTGTATTATCTGGCGAACTGCGGAGTATTGTGCGTTTGATATAAAGTTGTTAGTATGGAGGATTTTGTGAAATGCATGCTTGTTGTGTAGAGTAGTTTGTCAATGTTGTTGGGACGTTATGGGTTCTCAGTTTGTTGCGTTCTGCTGGTTGTGTGCCCATGTTAGTTTGTTCAATGTAAATTTGATGTTAATGAAATTTTGTGATCGGGTTTGTCCTGGATTTTTGCTATTTTTGTTGGTGGTGCATATGGTCCTGCATTTGTGGGGGTATTTTGAATGGACTTGTGGGTTTTTTACATTGATCGAGATAGTCGCATATTTTATATGGAGGATCATGTGTTGTGGGGGTTTTCCACTGGTGTGTGATTAATCATCATAGGTTGATGAAGTGTGTTACACAACATTCAATTCAAAGTAAAGTAATGACACATGTCTTAGTTTTTTTAATGAATGAACATCATTTGGTTATAGTCAAAATTATTGTGCTCTGCAATTGTGGTTGGGTTTTGCACGAGTGCGTGATTATGGTTCGTTGGATTTGTATGTAATGTAGTTCAAAGTAGTGAATTTTCTTCGTTGGCACGCGATAATACATTGGTTTTTATGGTGTTGCATGTAATACGTGGAAGATGTGTGGTATGCAATGGGTTGTTTAAATAAAACGTTGGTGTGCCATGTTAATGGTATTTACATGTTTTACGTTTCTGATGTGCCCCGGTGTGTGAATGTATGAGTTATTTCGGTGATCTATTTGATGGTGGTGTTTTTTGGCATGGTTTAATTTGGCAGGGCATGCTCTACTAATGTTCTACTACTGTTGTACTAATGTTGCTCATGATTTGATTTGGTGTGTAAATTACTAATGTTTTACTACTGCTGTAGTAATGTTATTCATGATTTGATTTGGTGTGCTAATTTACACGTAACATATGTTGCAGGTGGCAGTGGAAATAGGAATGGTAAACGGAACGTTGTGACGAGGTCACCGCAAACATCGACACGGCTGGCTACAAAAAAACAATCCAGGCTGCCATTCAAAAAACAAAAAGGGCCGGCTGACAATGTTAAGAAAGCTGATGTTGGTCCGTCAAAGTTAATGTACAGATCGAACATTTCAGGACTGATTAGCACAGTGCTTCAATTAGATTTACGTGATGGACACATTAGACAGCTGCAAAAAACCCCGTTTGGGGTTATGATTGATGCTATTTGTGTTCACGAGCTTGATCCAAAAGCGTTTAAGAAGTGTGATGCAACTTTCTGTCGAATTATTCAATGTTACAACCCGAAAGATGAGAAGTTCCACGTTGGTGGAGCGAAGTTACCATTGAGGAATAATGATATCAGGCTGATATTTGGGGTCCAGTGTAGGCAAGAGAAGTTGGATTTGGCACAAGGTGGCAAAGGGCCCTCCAATTTCATGCAACAACGTTATCCGAATGTTAGGCGAATCTCTTCAAAAGTTATAAAGGATCTGCTGGCAGAAGTAATCTGTGGTCGTACAGAGCATGACGAAGAAGATGTGGCGAAGTTGCTGTGTCTCTATGTTTGTGCGAAGTTATTTTTCGCAACCACCGGCGAGCATATTGGTTGGGCGTTTGTTCGTGTGATTGACAAGCTGGACACATTAAGACAGTATGACTGGACTGCAACAATAAGGAACACGTTGATTGACTCACTAAATGAGATGTACCACAGGCCAAAGAAAGTGACTGGTTGTGTCGTAGCGTTGCTGGTATGTACAATACGAACGTGCCAAAATCGCATACATGATATAATAAAAATAAGATCAAAGTTTGTCATAGTCACATGTATATTTGATGGTGGTTTCATGTTTTGATTTCAATTTCTAATTTGTGAACATTCGAACATAATCATCCTGGAACAGCCTAACGTCACTCCACGGTTTTGTCGATGGAACATTGGAGCAGCTGTGGCGAAATTGAAAGTACTAAATTTGATGGAAGAAGGTTCCATTGAGGTATGGAATAAAATAGTTTCCATGTCTTTAATTTGTTTGCCCAAATCATACACTGAATTTTTTTTCCTTAAATGTTCTGTATCCCCAGGTGCAGTGTGCGAAACTTGTTGGGACAATTAGTGAGTGTCATATTCTGAAACTGGCTGTTGCTACGAATGAGCCAAATGAATGTGGTACAAGTAGGATGGATGTGGATCGCGAAGGGAGTGGGGCTGCTGTTGGGACGGATGATGTGGGCAGCATGGGGCCTAGTTTGAATTGTTGGCAGGTGGATACACCAAATGCTGGTAACATCAAAATGAAAGGTCGAGACGATTATGAGAATAAAAATACTGGTACACCAACCAGCAAGGTAAAAGTGGGTGGGAAGATAGTGGCAGGTGGGGAAGTGTGGCCAGTCTTGTTCCCGGATCTTCTAGAACTGTCCAGCACTCCAGATGGTGAAGCCGTGGGTGAAGAACAAGGGGGAGTGAACGATGAGTTGAGATCTTGTAATGTCAAAATTGCTGAGTTGGAGAGTCAAATACAGAGTAAAGACCCACGGGTGCGTGAACTGGAGCAGCGTGTCGAAATGATGGAGCAACTGCTAGGGAGGCATGATGGTAATTTGTTTGTAGACTTAAATAGTGTGATTGTGGAAAAGGGTTCTGAAATTGATCGACTCAATAAGGTGGTTGATCGATTGGAGTCAAAGATAAGCAATTTGCAGGATAGTCTTGATGATTTTGAGGTGTACGAGGTGACGCAATGTGTTGTCAATGATAGATCAAATCAGCGAACACCAAGCAATAGTCTTTCAGGTAAAGTGAGTGGTTCTGGCCACATCACGAGTGTAGAAAGTGCACAGCACTCTACGTGTCCTGTAGGCCAACCCAAATACGTTGACACCACTGAATTACAGATTGTGGAGAACGATGCTGGGATTGAAGATTTAACGGCTGACTTTTCCCATGGGAATGTACATCCGACTGTGGTGCAGGTGGAGGGTAGTTGCAGTCCCCGAAATGAGCAGCCAACGTCAGATGGAAATGTAAATGTTGGCACAGCTGTCGTTGGCGTGGGTACTGCTTGTGAACACACAAATGCTGAAACAATTTCTAGGCCGAAAATGACGTCGCTGGTCAAACGGGTGAAGACCAAACCAAGACGGGAATTTAGGCTGTCTGACTACGAATATCCTGTCATATTTGGGCGACAACAAGTAAACGCGAATGTGAGACTAGGTAAATCGTTCGAGCCCGGGGTCATTTACAGTGCTGAGGACGTTGAAGTGAAGCGGAAAATCTGGCATGGTTTTGGTATGAACAGAAGGCACACTGTGTGGAACATGTTGAAGGATGAAGATAGGCAACTACTAGAGAGAATGTACAGTTTAGAGAGGGACGGGTAGGTTGTTTGTATGGAATGTTGCACTGTTTGACATGTAGAAGTTGTAAATGCTGTTATATGGTTGTTCTTAATTTTGGTTTATGATGTGTAGGTTAATAGTGTGGGACAGTGGACACAATGGAATACAAGTGCATTTCACAGACATCAAAGACCTAGTGCAGCAGAACTCCATTCATGGGAATGTAAGCTGGTGTCATATAATCTGCCATTTATTTAAATATTTATTTCCACAGGGAAAAACCCCACATGGACATGTAAACATTGTGTCATTCATATCGTGGTTGATGTGCCTGTGACGAAATGACAGATGAATTTAATAACACACAATTACGTATATGTAAATACATGCACTCTCACCTGATGGTACAAAAATGGTAGTAGCACATACTGGACATTCATTTACAAAATGTTATTAATAGTGCACTGTGATTGTAATGGGTAACATATGGTGTAGGTAATTGATGCATACGCTGCTATGTTGACTGAAATGCGTAAGACGATGTCTGGAAAAGCAGAATTTGTGGGCACGACATACGTTTACACTAGTGTGTGTTCGGTATGTAGCACAACTAGCGTTTATTTGCACGAAATCTGAAAAAAAATATTTTCTGTAATGAAATCTGACACAACTTTGGTGGCTTTGGAAAATTGTGCAGGATATGATGCGGAACAGCAGCGCAATGTCGCGAACAAAGTACTTGAACGTACACATGAAGGCTGCGCGAGGGTACAGATACACACTATTCCCGATCTACAATGCCAACCATTGGACAGTCATGGCACACAATTCAGAAAGTGGGAATTGGAAACATTACAACTCCATGAGGCCAAGACGTGGAGTGCGTGATGAGCATTACAATGAGGCTCTAAAAGTTGTAAGTACATCAACACAGGCAGTAGTTCATATATGATTTTTTGTCGATTTGTAGTGGTGGTGCAATGGTAGATTAACAGATTGAGTTCTGAATGTGCATGGTTGATGAATTGTAATGTTTGTTGGTTTCAATGTCACACAGTACGTATCTAAACTAACATGTGAGAAATCAACAGAAATAATGGGTGGCCGACCACCACAACAAGTTTGTGAAACCAAGAGTTACAGCTGACGGCATTGGGGCAGACCTTTTTTATGGGAGTTTTGAATCTGTTGTTGATTGTCCACAACAAGTTCCAGAGTCGTAAGTAATTGCCATATTAGAATGAGTTCACTGTTTTGATGATGTGTTGTGTAAGTGACGCTGGTATCGGTTTTTGTGAGTGCAGGTCGGATTGCGGAATTTTCACATGCTTCATTATCAGGCAATACATTCATGGGGCAGAAGTTCATACTACGATGGACGGTCTCACACCAACTGGGCTACGAGCTGTAATGGTGGACATGTTCTTGAGTGACCTGGGCAGAGGACTCCGTGGTAGGACATTGTAAGAGGTGTTCACGTTGCTCATTCCAGAAGGTGCAAGAACGTGGTTACAATGTTTTCTTCTTGGGTTTTATGGACGTACATATATGTTTTGTAATTCTGTAAGAACAGAACGTTAGCAAGGAAATTTTAAATTGGGTAGCTGTCCTATGTTGCTTTATTATCGTGGCAAATGGTGCACCAACGGTTTAAGCGTTGGTTAGAATTGGTTTTTTTGAATGTTGATATTATTTCTTAAGCAATTAAAATAGTTTCTTGGATTCCACATTAGCAGCTTTGAACCTTACATGCGAAAAAATTATTTCTTACACGTCTACTAGTATGCCATTGTCCTTTTATTATCATATGGTGGAGATGTGATGGTAATGTCCTTAACAATGTGAATTGTATGTTTACGTTTTCATGTGCATAGGCATGACATTGTCTCTTAATGCCAGATGGTCCTTGGTATATATATATGGTATGATCTACACAGGAGGTTACATTTTAACAGTGAGTTGGGGGAAACCTGTTTTGCCACTATGGAGTAAACGTGGTTTGATCTCTGCGTAAGTTGACAAGCGCACATCGGCTACGTGGTTAATATGGCATGAGAGTAGAATAATTGGCCATTGTCATTTTAAGTATCATTGTAAGGACAACATTTCATTGTAAACGTAATATTACATTGCATTCAAATTTTTTTAAAACAGTGGGTTTGTGGTGCATATTGTGTATGACGTGCAGTGAATTGCAAACATACACCCAAACATTAAAAACCATTAGCCATCCATTATTTGAAACAGTGGGTTGTGGGTGACTGACTGGTATGATATGCACAGATATGAAAACAAACAACACACATTACTGTTACGGTATAGCAACATGAAAGTGATGTCATAATGTAATGTCCACGGTGGTTGGTTGTTAAGGGTGCAGTATGTGATTGTTCAACAGTGGCCACCGAAATCAAACCCATAACAGAAAGAGAAGTGTATATTCTACCAATTTGAATAAACCCATAACAAAAAGTAAATGAGTGACTATAAAACAATGTCAAAAACATTTCGGAAAACAGAATAAAAGTCCAACTGAACCCCAATTTGTGGGGGAAAGAAAATTAAACCACATGGCAGGCCGTCTGTAACGGCTCTTTGCATGTCTTTCTGTTGTGATTGCCCAATTTTTCTCAACGCCCGCAACGTATACGTTGCACTACCTCACCCTTGGAGAGAATTCTCTTCCGTTTGGGCCTACCGGGAGGACGCTTGACTGTCGGCGGTGCTATGAAATATTCATTTGGGTTAAACGTCGGCCTCTCCACTGTTGGAATGGGGTATATAGTTCCGCTATAAGTAGCTCAAAATGTCTCGATGTAGAATCCAGAGTCTATTGAATCATAAATGTTTCTCCCACTATTACGGAATGCAACAACAGCATGGGAACATGGAAACCCATTAATCTGCCACTTGCACTACCTCACCCTTGGAGAGAATTCTCTTCCGTTTGGGCCTACCGGGAGGACGCTTGACTGTCGGCGGTGCTATGAAATATTCATTTGGGTTAAACGTCGGCCTCTCCACTGTTGGAATGGGGTATATAGTTCTGCTATAAGTAGCTCAAAATGTCTCAATGTAGAATCCAGAGTCTATTGAATCATAAATGTTTCTCCCACTATTACGGAATGCAACAACAGCATGGGAACATGGGAACCCATTAATCTGCCACTGAAAACAGGAACATGTCTGCTTGACGACGTCAACCAACACCGACGGGTGGGAATGAACCTCATACACATCATCGTTAGCCTGGCTCACACACCATGCCCTGCTGTCGTTATACGCTGACACCAATTTTTTTTCCATCTTCGAGCATATTACACCGGCCCATTTAGTGCATTTAACTCTGTGCTCCGACATCTGCTCCATGATTTGACCCCTTACCATATCAACCAATCTAGTAATAGAAAGATGACGGGCCTGGCCAACCCAGTTGTTGAAAGATTCGGCAGCGTTTGAGCACATCTCCCCGTACCTTTGGCCACTAAAAAAATGACCAAAGTAAACGTTTACGGAGAGCATAAATTATAACAAAAACATATTATTAAAAATACATGCGAGGATTAACAATACGCCATAACCCATTAAGCGGATTGTGAAGTACCTGAAATACGCATTAGACCAATGTTTTGGGTGCAAGTCTTTAAGAAAATCTTCAATCACAGCTGGGTTGCACTTCTTCAAGACCTCCAATTTCTCATTAAAGCAAGTAACAGTGGGCGCGTAGGCACATTCCTGCAACTTGTGCATCAACCCAATTTTATGCGATGCATTAACATATTTCATTCGATCCCGCAAGTTCATTTGGAGATGCAACAAACAAAATGCATGATGCGCTGAAGGGAAAATTATTGGTATGGAGTGTATTAATCCAACGTGACGGTCAGATACGAAAGTTAATGTCCGCCCACCCCCAACAACTTCTTTCAAATTACGAAGAAACCATTCCTAATTAGATGAATTCTCGGAATCAACAATAGCAAAGGACCGGAAACAATCCTACAACCAAACATACAACATAAACAGTTTTCCATGAGTAAAATTGTACAACTTCCACACAAAATAAGTACGACGCAATTTTTAAAATGAAAGCAAATTACCATTAACTTTGCAAATGAAAGCTAAGTGAAACCATTACCTTGATTGGCTTCTTTAGCAGTAACCGCAAGCAAATTGCCTTTGAACCTACCTTTCAAAAACGTTCCATCCAAAAACAACAAAGGTCGACAATGATTGAACCCATCTATACAAGCGCGGAATGATATAAAATACCTAACAAACCTCCCAATTTTTTGGTCAAACTCAAAGTTGATGTAACTGTTTGGGTTTTTTTGCATAACGGCATTGCTATACCACCTGAGTTGATCGAAGGACGTAGCGTGATCCCCGTACACTTCACCTCTCGCTTTCTCAACACCAAACCATGCCACCCGGTAACTAATGTCCAAACCATACTCATTTTTCAAGTCAAACACAACATCGGTAGGACGCGTCAATGGCTGATCGCGCACTCGATCCGCAACAACAACAGACACCAAATCAGAACAAGTACGAGGGTTCCTACAAGTACGTACAGCAACCCCGCAAGTATGCACACTATCGAACCTCTTAATACATAACACCCCAGTTGACGGTAACATCCTCGCATGAACTGACCACAAACAATCTGTTGACACCGCAAACTTGCACACTACTGTAATTCAAACAGAATCATTTTTAATGTACTTGAATTGAAATCCACGTTCAACGACATACTTACATAGAACTTCACGGAATTCAGTTGCTCCACCGTCAAAACGTTGTCCCACATGGGTAATCCCATACGCCCATTGTACCGACAAAAACGTCTTCGATCTGTTCGGACAGTATGTTGGTAATAAGTCCATTTGGTCATCCACACAACCATTCCGACTAGCATCTCGGAAAATTACCCCATCCTCCGTGGAATCCACCACACCACAATTACCCCCCACACCAACACTACTTTCCTGAATGAGGACCTTAATGTGATTTATTCCAAACGACTTAGCAAGGCACAACATGTTTTGAATATCTTCGTCACTATCCACCTTAAACTTCTTGTACCCGGGAACATCGAACACCAAACACACCGCACCTGGTATCAATCCATCAAACTTCGCACAAATATCATCAACAATCTGTACGAATGACAAATCCTGATGCAACCGAATAAGAACATTGACTAAACCGTATGAACACACCAACAATATCCCTCCATCCATACCTGTGACACATTTGTTGAACCCATTACTATGGCAACATACCCAGGAAAAAACATAACAAAAACACCTTTTCTTTCCATAAATTTGCTGTAATTAATCGATGCCACCCCACTGAAAGATCACAGACATTGGGGAGGGGGAAACAAAATAAAATAAACCAACACACACTCGTTTTGAAAATGTTACCAACAGCAGTGTAAACACAGCAATCCAACACCCCTGCACTGTATAGTTACGTTGCGACAAAAACGGCAGCCAACCGGAAAACTAACGCCCACCACCGGGAAAAATGGTGGCCACTGTTTTCGGCCTCCAAAAACCAATGGTGAAAAACAATGTCAATGAAGGAGAACCATGGTAATCAATTACAAATGATGAAAACAATGGTAATCAATAACCACGCAATGTTAATCAATCAAAAAACCAATACAAAAATTGGCCATCAATGAACATGATACAAACCGTTTATGGACAGATTACAGAAATGGTGAAAACCAATGTTAATAACTAAAAAAACCCACAAACCATTAACATTACGTAACCATATACAAAACAATGAAAACAATGAAAATGGCAGTCACCGTATTCTGAGCGAAAATGGCACTCACCGTGATCGGACTCTGAATAACAAAGAAAACAATGGTAATCAAACCCCAAAATTGGTCAACATTACGGAACCAGTAGCATGTTAACAGAAACAAACATGGAAAGGGTATAGATGTCAAAACAAATAGAATTAAATCACACCCCCAAATCTCTGCCACTAAAATAGGACTAAATGGTATAGAAAAAAACTTACAGGACTAAATGGTTTAACTTTTCTGTAGATAGGATTTATGGGTAATTTTTCCTAAATTTTAATTTATAAATTTATATTTTATTAAGTCTTAATTAAAAAAAAATTGGACTTTTAAGTCCTACTAAATTTTTAATTGTCAAAATTGCCTTTCAAACAATGATTGTTCGTCATTTATGATTATCTATAAAGAAACATGATGATTGACATTTATTTTAATTTTTTAAATTTTAAATAATTAACTTTTAAATTGAAAAAACAAAAAAAAATATGTACCAAAAAAAAAAACTAATTTTTTTTTCAAAAAAATTGATAAAACTTAATTATTTTTTTGTGCAAAATTGAAAATTTTGTGTCTATAAAGCAGTATGATTATATAACATTGATGTGCAAAACTGGAAGGAAAAAAAAAATTTGACAATGTTCTCAATTTTAAAACTAGAAAAAATGTTAATATTCTCAATTTTATTAGATTGTTGAATCAAATCAATAAGTAGAAGGATAAAAACGTTTAATCTCATACTCTGTTTTTTTTTCATCAATTAGTGAAATAATTATTTGGAATATTACTATGCAAAATTGATAATGTTCTTAATTTTAAAAATTGAGAAAAACTGATAATATTTTCAATTTTACTAAATAGGACTTATTGGTTTAAAAAATCTTAAATATGACTTAAACTACCATAACATTTGTAAATAGGACTTTTAGATAATTAACTTTTTTTTTATTATATAATACATGAATGACTATAATAAAAATACCGTAAAGCACACATGATTTCTATTTAATATAGATCTTCTTTCACATTTGAAAAAGTACATTCCTCTTCTTAACGTTTGTAATCTCATTACAAAATTTCCTCTGAATTGCTAATGTCATGTTTTAAAATTTTCTAAATGAACATCTTGTCTTTTTTTTTCCTACTATTTCTTCTTCCTATCATCATGATTACATTATACAACTTTCCATTATGAAATTCTATCTGAACATATTCTTATTGAATAATGAAATATAAAGATAAATTTTATATAGAATTTTCAAACACAATAATATAGTTTAATGATGACCCTTTACTTTAAAACAAAACACCTATAAATATGATTTATATTTACAACAATATCACTATCACAAAATTTTTATGATATTTTTCGTATAAATTTTTATACATGAATATAATTTTTCATTTTTTTTTTCACCGTTATATCTAGATTAGATCAATTTAATGTAGAATATTTAAAAAGTATAAAATTTATACAATTTTTTTTTAAAAGATTCATTGAATACAACAAAATAAGATAATGTGTTGAATTTTTGTATTTTTGTATTTGGTGAATTTAAAAAAAATCACAAAATATTATAGTTCTTAAATATATCTAGATTAGGTGTATCTACAAAAATAAAAATAAAATAAAATAAAATAAAAAATTGCTTAAAATATTAAAAAAATTCAATAAAAATTTTAAAAAAAAATCAAGTTTTTTGTGTGAGTTAAACTAAAGAAGATGATTGTTATTTCCCTTAAAATGACATAAACAAAATATGTGTATTATTTTATTATTTTAAATGTATGAAGGTTAAAAGACAAATATGTCATTTTAATCTGACAAGAGGGTAAGTGTAATTTTCCAAATATGAGGGGACAATCTGTATTAAATAGAAATCTCAAGGGGTGTCTGTGCAATTTACCAAATAAAATATTATTTGCCGTTTGGAGAGTGTGATTTTTAAATAAAAAATCATTATAAATTATCGCATTACTCTTCTTATTTTTATTTTTATTTTTGTATACTTTTTTATAAAAAAAATCAATTAAAATAACCCATTCCTAACGTTGTCCTAACTCCTAAGTAAGAGCATCTCTAATGGTTGTTTCTATAATATCGTTACTATTGCTATAATTTGGGAATAAATAGTAGTAATTTGTCAAATTATAGGAATGGTGCTTCAATGGTACACATGCCATTTTGGCAAATCTCAACCAACTTTTCCTCCAAATTTGTAGGTGTTATTTGGATATAAGTTTTTTAGTATTTTTTTTGTTTTTTCTATCTTTTGTGACCTTTTTTTATCTGTTTGTAATATATATATATATATATATATATATTTATATATTTATGTTATACTCGACTAGACAAATATAAAAAATGAAAAAGAAATTGAAAAATTGAAAAAATAAATTTAAATACTCAAAATTACATTGGAACATAAAAATGACATTGCAAATAAAGACTAAAAATTACATTAAAAATAAATGACATTGCAAAATTAAAAAATACATTCTCTAGTAATTATTCATAAGGAGGCAGGGGAAAACAGTAATTTGGGTTGATGACATTTGCGGATCACTTGGCAAAAATCTCATCTTTTCGCATTATATAATACGCTTTCGTTTGAGGGTCCAAATGAGAAATATCCGTAGTTATTATCAAAAATTCTTCCTTTTTGATCTCATGTTCTTGTCTTTTGATCTCAAGTTATTTCATCTCCTGCAGTGCTTGAATCATTTTTTCTTCTCTTTCAGCTCTTTTCATTTCCTTCTGAGCAAAGTGTTGGTTAAATGTCTCCAACACATTGACTTCACTGTGTTCGTAGGAGGTACATCTTGCCACCTGATATTATTTTGCAAGATTGGCTAGCAATGTTCAAAAGCAAAATGTTTATTTTCATCTTGATGGTATAAAAGTTTTGCTTGAAGCATCTGTATCAATAAAATATTAAATTAAGTAATTAGTTAATTTTTATATGAGACAAAAAAAATTTAAAAAAAAAAAACTGACGTAATAAATGAAAATGAAATCTTACTATATCAACTTGAGACATCGTACTTGGGTGTAGATTTTCGACTTGCACTAAACATCCACGAAATTTGTTGGAACATTTCATGATTATACCCCATCGAGATTGAATAAACACTTGTGTTCTTGACTGATCATTCTGAAGGGAGCAATAATTTTCATAAATTCTCCCCCAAAAGTAAGCATAAGATTGAGCATAAAACTATAAATAAAAATGTAATTTGGAAGGTTTGTTGTGAAATGAAATTAAGAAAAAGAGAGGAGAAAAAGAAAAAGGCTTGCTATGAAATGAAATTGAGATTCACGGTTTGTATTTAAAAAAAAAAAAAAGAACTATTTTTTTATAGCCGTTGTAACATAAAAATATGACCGTTTATAGCTGCTGTGCTTTTGTTTCACTTGTGGTTCTTTTATTTTTTTATTTTTTTTAATAAACAAAATAGCACACTTGGACTGATTTTTGGGGTTGATCACTAAACAAGATCTCAACCGTTGATTAAATAACAATCCAACGGTTGAGATCAATCCTCTAGATCACTGTCTCTCTCAACAATGCTGATATTTGCTCTCTCTATCTCTCTGCGTCTCTATCTTCTCATCACTCTCTTCATCACTATTGCCTCTATCTCTCTCACTCTCACCATCTTTATCTCTTTCTCTCCTTGGTTCTCAGCTTCTTTATCACCAATTCACCACAACCACAAGAAACCCCTGTCTCCCAACTCTCTGTTTCTCCCCTTGTTTCTGTTTCTAGTTCTTAGCTTCGATCTTGCTTATTTAACATTTGTTTGGTTGCCAAGAAACAGAACAAAGGGATAGTGCTTGCATCTATTAGTGTTTTATCACAAACATGGAAAGCTCTCTACTCTTATCTTCTCCGATCTTGATTTTATTTATTTGTTTATTTTGTTTCAAAATACACTCTCACTAACCAAAAACAAGTTTTTTTGTTTTTTTCCCAGGATTCTCAACTACCAAACAAAGAATGACTGTGAAATGAATTGAGTCTTAGGTGAATTTTGTTGTTGTTTCAAATGCTACAAAGAGTGCCTTTATATCTCCAAACATGTCATGGTCTAGGGTTTTCAGATTGCCTCAGATTCACAAGAATGTACATCACTCCTCTTCTAGATGCAGGTAACTTTGTTCATCAGAACGTATTAATATATCTAATTCATATTATCACACACAAACAAATCTAGGCTTACACACATTACTCCAATTTGTGATTTTTTTTGTTGAAATTTGTGAGTAATTGATGAATTTGGTGATTTTTTGGTGAAATTTGGTATTGCTGAAATTTGGTGATTTTTGTATTGGTGAAATTTGTCTGAGAAATGCACAAATTGGTGAGTTTGGAACCCTCCATTTTTTTTTTTTTTTTTTTTTGTGGAGACACCTTGAAGTAATTGGTGAATTCTGTTTTAAACAA